AGACGCTGAAGCTGATAGCATGTTTAAACATCTTTTATCCCCATGTGACATTAGTGTGCATTGTCCTGCTTTGCATCACAAGTTGGAGTAGATGGAGCAAAGACTCCTAACCATGATTACAGGCTGGGGAAAAATGTTTTGAGAGTGAAGAGTTTAGTTATTTTTGCTCCTTAAAAAAAACCAGAAACAAAAAATTTTTGCCCAGTGACGAAAGTCACTTCACAATGATGGGCTAGATAGCAGTTTAGTCAAGCTGAGAAGGGCATACTAAGAGTCTGAGGAGATCAGGCAGCTGGAGGCCATGTGCATTCAGCGAGATTTCAGCGTCTGCTTGGGGTCCAGCACCTAAACCCCAACTTCGTAACTAAAAAGCTGGAGATTACAGAGATTACAAACCACCTATTTTTTTTCTGTCCCAGGACTCGGAGCAAGGCCAGCAAAGGTTGCTCGCTTGTTTGGTGGAGAGTTGGGCAACGTTACAGGAGGGCTTTGAGACCTGCAATGTCAGAGTTGTGCCCCCCCACCACTACATGTATTACTTCTCATTTAACAACCTTGAATTTCACCCACCATTTTAATAACCCAGTCACTTGGTCACAAGATCCTTCTGCACCTTTCCACAGGCTGAGTCAGTGTTGAGTATTCTGCATCATTTTGCATAATCAACAAACCTTGGCACCCCATGCTCCAAATTGTTCTGAAGGTGTTGAATAGAAACAACCCTGGGGCAGACGTCCTCAGATGCTGGCCACTCACACCTTCTCTCTCAGTCACCACCAGCCTTGCCACTAGTTTTCGGCCTGGAGAGGGTGGTCTTCCCTGTCCTGGGGCAGTTCAGGTTCTTTGAAAGGTTTTGCCAGTCTGTTTTATTTCCTAAATCCAGTTGCTTTTCATCACGTGGGGGGACTGATGTGGGTGGTGAATTACTTACAGCACAGTTACTTGTTCACCCGTTTCATGCTGGAGACCATCTGAGCCTGGCACCTGGTACTGAGGGTTTGCTGCCCTTCATGTCACAGATACGTTCTCAAGTCCTGACACTTCGGTTTGCAACAGTGGCTTCGTCTCATCGCCGCTGAGGAAAATCTCTTGTCTGGGAACACCCCAAAGCTCCTCTGATGGCAAAACATCAGTTTTACTTTTCTGCCATGGCCTTAGCTTCCCTAATCACTCCCATGCTTTTTGGCAGCTTTCTTGTCTCCCAAGATGCATTTGAAAAAGGTTTTCATACTACCTTTTCTATTTGTCACATAGTTTCCCAAAAATCTGCCTTTTTTTAGGCTCTTAAGTTTAATTTGCTAGTATTTATGAGTTTTTCTTCTATTTTCATTTGACTACAGCTTCAGCTTTTTGGTGGCTGCCTTTTCAAATCTTATGCAGTGAAGTATAACCCAGTACTACTGTTCCTCTTAGGAACATTTAATTGAGAATAACTCCCTCAAGAAGATAACACTTCTATAGTAAGATAATATATGGAAGTAAGTTAGCTGTCCTGTAGTAAGAAATTACATTCAGCTCAGAAGAATAAGTAACAAATTATTTGTTTTTTGCAGTGTGTATACAGTACAATTCTCCAAAGGTAGGCAGGTTGTTTTTGATTAAATGCCCGCTTTCTGTGAGTACCGCCAATGCCCACAGGGGTATTTGCATACCCTGAGTTTAAGTCATAAACCCACATTTTGTGAATGGCATCTGTTACAAAGAAGTTTGGAATATTATCATTTGAGATGTTTGCCTTACACAACAGTCCAATATATGCCTTGCATCATAGTCTTTCCCAGAGACCTGTATCTCCTCTTCCTTGCACAGATCTTGTCAATTGCTTTGCTCAGAGACTCATTTACTTCAGAAATGGACAGAGTATGTTTTAGATGTCCAAGACTTTTTTTTTTTTACTGTGCTTATGCAGTCACCATTTCGCTACATTTTGGTGTGATTTTTCAAGCAAGCTTAATTAGTTTCCACATCTGCTCAAGATGATTTTCACTACATGGCACTTCCACAATGCTGAAGTTTCACACTGACATCTTGAGAAGGTTGTCTAGGTTGTCTGAGGACAACTAGCCATTTCTTGGGGGAGTAGCGCATGGGTGCTAGTGTGTGCAAATGCCAATGAAGTATAAAATATTTCCTCTAAACAGTCGAAGTTGCCATAAAAGGGAACTTTCCTGTAACACCACTGCTAATTACCATACTGCAGCATCATTTGAATTTCCTCTGTCTTAAAAAAGAAAACAAAAGGTGCAGCTTACCAACCCTAGAAATGGTTGGCTGCCTATCAGAGAAGCTGTCCCTTGGGTCGGCCGGAGAGCTTTGTGTCAGCACAGCCCTGCAAAGGAATGAACCCGTATCTCAGGAGCATCCCGCTCCCACAATGGCCCAGCACAACGAGCCCTGGTGCCTGGCCAGTCAAGGAATGCAAAGTCAAGCCTTTGGCCAGGATTGGTGTCTTTCTATACCTTCCCCTTGCAAAGCATTCATAAACCAGGATGAATTCTGGCTTATCACAGCTGCTCTTGAAGCTGTTTTGTCCCAGCAGAGCAGCACGATCACTTTTAGCTCCTTTGCTGAACAAGAGCCTCTTTATCTCTGCTTGAGCACCTGCCTTACCTGACCAAGCACTTCTATCAGTTTTCCTTAGAAATGCTTTAAGAGCAAATCTAGAGCTCCCCTACTGAAGAGAAAACTCTTCTCCAGAGAGAGAGAAGCAACTGCCACAGATCTCCTGTCTTTATCCCAATGCCATCTGCAGTCATATATGTCAATTTTTCAAATTGACAAAAAAAAAAAAAGAAAAGATTTTTAGGACAGGGTTGCAGTTCTTGGGCAGGCTGGCCACTGAGCTAGCTTTTCCATCTGTCCGGAGGGGCCTTGCTGTGGTGCCATCTGCAGGCACAGCGTCTGGATGCAAAATGAGGATTTTTGAGCAGAGCTGTGCTTTTTCGGGAGCTTATATGAGAGAGGAAACCAAGCCCTCCAGGCGGTCCAAAGGCTGCACAACTTGTTTTTTCACACTTGCTCTCCCTGTTTCCATACAAGAGCAACCATGTTTTAAATTCTGTGATTCCTGGCTTGCCTCACATAGATACCGTATCATTTTTCCAAGAATTTCAAACAAGATTGTAAACCGGTTGAAATAGTACTTTAAAACAGAGTGAACCTTTATCTGAGACATTCCCAGCAACTGTTGGTCTGAGAGCACATACTCTTCCTCCACCCCACCTCCCAGATTGTATGAATTTGCTCATTCCCGCAGCAATTTGATCTCAGGTTGGATATGGCTCTCTCTTGTTAAATAACAAGAGTTCTTTGCTCTAGGTAAATTTTCAGGCAGTCTTATCTTGCTCAGGAAATATAAGGCTTTTTAGAGGAAAAAGGTGACTCGTTGAAATGTTCCTACTTTAAACCCAGTTCAAAATATCTTTTACATGGGAAAACAGGCATTCCCCCCAACAAGGTGTTTCAGCAGCTTCTCTGCACGTCCAGATTATCAAGCAAGGCGCTTGCTGAGCAGGCACACAAATACGCAGGCAGCAGCGCACAGGACAGCCATTCAAATCACTCAAGCGCAGCAATCGAGGACAGGATGGGACAAACCCAAGACTCATTTGTAACCCTGACAGGCCTGCAGGCTACACTTCTTCCCAGCAGAAACCCAATTCCAGGGGGAGGGCTGCCTCCAGTTAGCCCCAGCATCAGGCAGCTCCCTTTTAACTCCAGAGTTACCTAAAGCTCCCACGGGGCCATTTGTGGGGTAAGCCAGGTATTGCTGCTGTCCCAGGGCTAACAAGCTGTTCAGAGTCCCAGCTCCCATCCAGAGGCAGGTTATTCAGCCTTTTTCCTCTTTGCAAAGCAACTTTGAGTCATCGCCCTCTAGTCCAGTAAACATTTAGTTTTTACGCAGCGCATCCACTGGAGATAAGCAGCTCCAGGAAACTATGTCCAACATACCTTGATCATGGGAGCTTAAGTCATCCAGCTTAATTCCTTGCTCCAGATCAGGGTGTAAAGCAGGTGGGGTCCAGACAACAGCTCCAACACTGCCTGCTCAGGAAAGGGCAACACATCACCTCCGAGATAGTAAATTGACCTGCTAAAAATGGAGGGCCACATGATTGTGCAGTGCATCGCTTATCTACCCCAGCATTCATAGGTCACAGAAGGCTCAGCCCCTGCCTGGCAGCATTTGTGCTTCCACAAAGAGGAAGCACAAACACTCCCTGGCAGAGGGCTGACATTCACCTTGCAGAGATTTGCTGCTCAGGAGCTTAACTGCAACTGCCCCTCCTTCCGCATAGAATTAAGCCAGAATTAAGACTAGCTACCACCATGGTAACACTGGCCTCTGACACGTCCCTAGGCAGCCACTTCCTCTAGGGCAAGTTGATTCATTTTAAACAAGGTAAAAGCAAATGAAAAATCCCCCGTAACATTTCTACTAAGGCAGGGGGAAGAAGAAAGAATTCCTGTTTCTTGTGCCACTTTTTGCATTTGGTTTAGGAAAGTCATCTGCTCAGCACTTTATTCTGCATGCACCCACCAGACAAGCAAATCCAGAGCTAGAAGGTGGATGGAGCAGCAGAGCTGCCTTCCACTCTACCATGCAGCAGTCCTGCAAGCATAGCCCTGCACCACACCTTATTTTGGCTCACAGGCAGGAATCTTACCTCTGGCACAGGTGGCTCACCGGTCTGCATACCACAGCTCTGCTCACTGCAGCCTGGCACCCAGCAGAGATGGGCACTTGCTGTTCAAGTCAGGTATCCCAGGGACTGCACCATGCCCATACACATAACCCAAGCTGTCCGAACACCTCTTCTGCCATTTCCTTATCTCTGCCACCTGGGTTCACAGCCTCAACATGGTGGCCACATAGTACTGCTTAGAAGAGCTGTCCCATCAGCTGCAGCCAGGCTGGCAGGGCCCATCTTAAAGCAGACACCTACATTGCTCATTACCCCCCACTTTCTCCCATTTCCCACTGACAGACAGACAAGGCATTTCAGATGGTGATCACTTTTATTGATGTAAGGTGGTACACAAACAGATCAGTTTCTATCAGCCTCTCCACCTCCCCCAGGCTCGGGGAGAAGTTGGAGGAGTGGGGGAGACAAGGGAACAGAACTGGCCTCTCACTGCAGGATGCAGAGCTAAGCGGTGGTGAAGAAGGGCAGGGGCTCCAACAAAGGAGAATCCTGCTTCCCTAGACAGCAGGGGGGGCTCTGTGTGCTCAGCTCACTCCTTGGATGCCATGTGGACCATCAAGTCCACAACACGGTTGCTGTATCCATACTCATTATCATACCTGGGGACAGAAACAGAAGTGCTGTCAGGATTGACCCATTTCTTGCATCCCCTTCCTCCGTTATTCCTGCTCCTCTGCCCCATCCCACACAACTGAACCAGGCAGCTTCCCATCCACTTCCAGTAAAGAAAGTAGGAAGCATCCCATATACTCTCCAAATAAGGGAAGGAGAAGGCTATAGTCATTTCAGATAAGAAGCAATCTCACTCCAGAGAGACATGGTTTTAACATGTGGGAGCCACCCGACTCAGCAGCGGTCTACATATAACCCTGCATTGCCAACCTGGCAGTTATGAACAGGACCGAAGTCTAACTCGTCTGCCAGCCCCTACCCGACCGTCTCCCCCACCACCCCCCAGGCTGTGCCTACCAGGAAACCAGCTTGACAAAATGGTCGTTCAGTGCAATGCCAGCACCCGCATCAAAGGTGGAGGAATGGCTGTCACCATTGAAGTCACAGGAGACAACCTGGAACAGAGAGGGAATTAACACATACAGTTACCCACAGCCTAAACCAAAAGTGCTCAAATCAGGATCCCAGCAAGGCTTCTCCCATCAGAAAAATGACTCAAGCGCCAATAACCACAGGCTAAGAGACGACGAGTTACTTACCTGGTCCTCTGTATATGCCAGGATGCCCTTCAGGGGCCCATCAGCAGCAGCCTTCACTACCCTCTTAATGTCATCATACTTGGCCTGAGAAGAGAGACACATTTAAGATGGTCAGATGCCAACTCACAAAATGTCTGCCGGGGGGGAGGGGAGAGAGACACATGGAAGCACCATAGCAGCAGTCACGCATGGCAGGTTCTATTTTCACCAAGATCAAATCTTCTTAGGGAAGAGATGAATGCAGAGGGCAATTCAAGGTAAAAGAAGTTTAGGGGAAGCAGGGGCAGGTCTGGACGTTGTTAGGGCCTTGCCCACAACACTTACTGGTTTTTCCAGACGGCAGGTCAGGTCCACAACAGAGACATTGGGGGTTGGCACACGGAAAGCCATTCCAGTAAGTTTCCTGTGAGAGACATGAGTCAGCAGGGAACAGCACCCAGCACCCCTCTGCCAGCCCTCCATTCTGCTAAAGACAGGTCAGAGCCAGCCAGGCACCAGCTGCCACCTCCTGACACCCAAGGAGGGACAGCACTCACCCATTGAGTTCAGGGATGACTTTTCCCACAGCCTTAGCAGCCCCAGTAGATGCTGGGATGATGTTCTGGGCAGCACCTCTGCCATCCCTCCACAGCTTCCCAGAGGGCCCATCCACTGTCTTCTGCGTGGCTGTGATGGCATGGACAGTGGTCTGGGGGATGACAGCACAGCAGTAAGAACACAGCCGATACTTTTTCTGGAGAGTATCCCAGGCACCTCCTCCCCATCCCAGGGGAGGCAGGGAGTACAGATGCTTTTCCTCTCACAAAAAAGGACCTGGGGATAGGGCACCCTCCTGAGCAGCAAGCTGCAGACCTACCATAAGACCCTCCACAATGCCAAAGTTGTCATGGATGACCTTGGCCAAGGGCGCCAGGCAGTTAGTAGTGCAAGAGGCATTGCTGGAGAAAAGAGAGGAAGGCTCATCAACCAGAGGCAACACATCTACAGACATAAGATGAGACCCCATGCAGCTGGTGAGAGCTCCGGGCCAGATAGCATCTTCCTCTCTCCTTACCTGACAATTTTCAGAGACTTGTCATACTTGTCATGGTTGACACCCATCACAAACATGGGAGCATCAGCTGAGGGGGCAGAGATGATAACACGCTTAGCGCCACCCTTCAGGTGAGCCTGGAAAAAAAGAGGAGGAGGTTAGATAACCCAGAATCCCTCCAACAGCTCACTTCTCCTGACAACCTTTTCTCCCTCCCAGCCCCATCTCTTCCCCATCTTGAGCAACTCTGTACACGGTGATGCGCCCCACAGGCAGGAGCAGCAGTATCCCTTCTCCCGTGTGCCACTGTGGCATACTCACCCCGGCCTTATCCATGGTGGTGAAGACACCGGTGGATTCCACAACATATTCAGCACCAGCATCTCCCCACTTGATGTTGCTGGGGTCACGCCTGAGGAAGGACAGAACTGTAAGAGCTGCTGCGCAAGACACCTGCTTTCATCCTCCAGAGGGATGAGGGAGAGAGATACTTACTCCTGGAAAATGGTGATAGGATTCCCATTAATCACGAGTTTCCCATTCTCAGCCTTGACAGTGCCCCGGAAGTGACCATGAGTAGAGTCATATTTGAACATGTAAACCTAGCAAGGAGAGATGGGGGAAGGTCAGGCACCCCAGCTGCCATCTCCCCAACCCCTTGCTCTGCCTATACTACAGTGTCAGCTCCCCATCTCCTCAGTGACCTTGTCCAACTGCTGCACTGTACTTGGCTCTGCCCAGCCTCCCAGCCCGGTGCCTCTACCCCACACCCGGTTTTCCTGGGAAGCTACTAGAACAGAGCCAAAGGAGACCTACTCAGAAAGGCCCGAAGGGGGCACTGCAAGGCAACTCACCATGTAGTTCAGATCAATGAAGGGATCATTGATGGCCACCACTTGGACTTTGCCAGAGAGGATGGCAGCCCGGGTGACCAGGCGGCCGATGCGGCCAAATCTGAGGAGACAGACATGAGGAGGATGAGGAGGAGCAACAGGGAACCTGCTGGGCTGGGCACAGCCCGCTGCCTTCCCTTGAGAGCATCCACTGCTCCCTGCCCGGTGGGGCAGGAGGGAGCCCAGCAGCCGCGTCCAAAGGCCGAGGCGCCTCGGTTAAAGATTAAGAGCGACCCCCACATCAGAAAGGTCAAGCGCTAAATTTACTGAGGGCCCCGGGGATCCGGTTACTCCTCAGCCGGGCGGGAGAAGGTCACGTCCCC